ATAGGTGTGGAGTTCCCCGCAAAAACGTATATTCTGTTGGCTCATCCCATACCAATTTAATCGAAATAAATGGAACTCGTGTTGTAATGCGATTTCCTGGCTATTCTGTCGTCTCCTATGAATATTGTTTATGCTCATCGCAAAGAGGAAGTCATGTAGGATCATTCATCATCGAGCCAAGTTTCTCTCCAAATCCCAAATTACCTGAGCAAATTAAATGACTGGCATCGCGAATCAAAAAAAAACAATCGCTTCAACCGTCACTCGTCAGGCATCTTCTTCTCCCGCAACGCAGCCAATGATTTACAATCAAATCCACTACCCTAGATCCTCGTCAGATGGCGTTCAAGATGGTCAATATCCCGGTGCTTGCAAGCTCAATCGGTCTTTAGAACTTGCAGATGGCGACGTAATAACATCATTCAAACATCAAACAACTGCTCATAATTTGATGGAATTCAAATTAAACGACTGCAACGAAAATCAAACAACAACGAGTACAATTGCACATAATTTCCTTCGCCAGATAATTGGAGGAATGATTTCAGATAATAAAAGTTAAGACAAAAAGAGAGAGAGAGAGAAACTTCCTCCACCTTTGGTTGTCCACACACACACAATGAGATGAAAATCGCAGTGGGTCATGTCCTTCGCAACTTCAAATCAGAGTTAACGCAAGATCGTAACTGTGGAGGCGCAAACGAGGTTAAATTTATAGACCATTTAGCAGGCCTCCACTATCTGTGAAATACATACAAGAAAAAATAAATAAAAAAGAGGGAGAGAGAGCTGATGGAAGACCTGTTGAAGTCTTCGCTCAAGGTTGGCATGACATATGCGGAGTGCACTTCTGGATTCTGCGAGTTGATGAAGAAAATTATCTCAAAGAGACGCATTGATATCGTCCCCGACGTTTGATGACTCCTTGATTCCTTGGAGTAGAGACTCAGGCGTCATGACATTGCAAATTGCCCAGGGACGGGTGTGGGAAAGAGAACAAAGTGACACCGTATGACAGTTAAAAGCTCCATGTCGTACTTGTCTGTGACGGTGACGTGGGCTGTACATATCCGGAACGGTTGGTTACCCGTTGCCTGTTGCTGAAGAGAGAAGGTACCCTCTCTTGGCAACCAACGTCTTCTCCATGAATGAAAAATTATGCGGCAGCTTGCGTTCCTCGGATCCACCATTTCGACAGTATGAAAGAGAAGACTCGAATTTCCATTTGAACATTTGCTACTTCAATAATCTATATTGAATCCTTTTTCTCAAGAAACATGTGCCGAGAACATGAGAAAACAAACTCGAGTGCCCAGTGGGTCTCCACAAGGAGCAACCCACAATACCGAGGTATTAAAAATATAACTGAAAAGACAGAATACATGAGACGGCAACGTTGAAATATTTTTATTTTTGAGAGCAGTCAAACACACTCAAGTTTTTATACTCAGCGGGACTGAGATCATTGACACGGGTTGTCTAGATTCAGACACGTGCACACAAAGGGAAAAAAGATGGCTATTATCGAGAAAAGGTTGTCGAAGAAGTCTTGTTTGAGTAGAATCTTTCCGTTAAATTAATTCTCGTGAAAATAAGTGTCTTCCGTTTATCCCCGCCTATCTCGCTAATTACCAGAATTAATGAACCCTGGAGCCGGAAAAGCCATGCCCAAATTCCCAATAACAATGCCACCATCTCGAATCCGAAAGGAGGATGCGGGACATTAGCATTAGACAGTAAAAAAAAAAGTCTTTCGATAGGTTCGGGACAGCTGGCGACACTTCGTTATACATTATATTGGCGACCATACGCCATTACGGCTGACGTTAAGACCGACGATCATCGAGTTACTCTCGTCGGACTTTAACACACGGATTCACTTACGCACTCACGGTATTTCCATCCCGCTATTTCGTTCTACTTGAATTTCCACTTAAATCCAAAACAAAAAATGTGACGCGGTGTTAGGCAATAGAGGATCAAGCAACTTTCTCTTCAAAGGCCTATAAGTGACAGCGGTCAATGCTTGTTGAAGAACAACCCCTTTATCATGGCTTTATTTCACCACTAATTATTATATATTGCCTCAATAGTCTACCAATGAAACGTCATCCGTCATGATGATTGGTCAAGTGAAAGAGTTGTCTCACTGCAATTTCCAGGAGCTCGCTTGGTGGAAAATCCGTCATATTGGATACAGTCCCAATGTACAAACACCGTGGATTATCTATTTCTGGACAGTAAGAGTGGGATTAGGCAGTGACTGTGAAGCGTAGCGGTAAACCATCGACCGACTTTGCTTTTCCCTCACTAATTGAGATGCCCTGACACCGTCATAGTCGTGTCTCACAAGCCATGAAAGAAAAGGAAGGCTCCAGCCTCTTCATCCGGATCTACTCAGGAAAACTCAGGCATCTTCGGTATATTACATTTAGTGAAGGCATCAAAGACAACTGCACCCTCCTGTTCTCAATTAACGAACCGAGCAGCAAATTGGCCTGCCTCTTTGTCGTTACGAAAATCAAGTAAAATTTTAACGTCGTTCGCCTCGGCGTCGCGACGATGTATCGTCTTTTCCCTACCTTCCCCTACCTTCCCCAACCATCCCCTACCGCTCCTACAATTATTGCTCCATATCTCATGGAACATCAACGCCTCCCATCAATGCAACACTTCCGGCTGATTTCCATCAACTCATACGCCTGACATTTTACTCCATCACTTGGCAAAGGCTTCGCCTTCCTTTTCACTTTTATTTATTTAATAATTACTTAATAAAAAGAAAAAAAGAACGTCAATCTCAGTTCATCGTTAAGTGTTCACGTTTGAGCCATGAACATGTCTGCAAACTCGAGAGACTTAGTTCTCTGATGTTCGCTCGTTTTGTCTCTCACTGGAGCACTTCGATATTACTGAGTACAGTGTCCTGTTTATAAATTATCGCCGGCTTTTCTCCTGGCAACAGTCCCGCAGTCACCCTCGTTTCCCTCTTAGCTATCAACTGCTCTATTTGTTCCAAACTACCTTTCACAGCTGTCAATGTTTCGTGGCTCCGGAGAATTGACACAATCGAGTATCATTTCTGTCAATTCTCAATTCTTTCAACTTATCATTAAAACCACTTGTGAAATTCACTTTTTTCAGTAGTATAAGTCAGCGTCCAGTATGCCCAACAAGTGGTAAATTTCTATTGTCAGCACAATAAATTTTCAGACGAATGAGCAATGGTTAATCTGCCGGAAAGGCAAAAAGGCTTCAATTACAACGAAATTTTCAATTTTAAACAAGAGTAAAGCGACTCACGACACCCACTCACGTCATCAATGACGCTGGGAAATGCGCAATTCCCCTTGCTTTGGTCACTCCGATGACCTTGAACCTTTATGAAAATAGAAAACATCCTCTGGACGCGTGGAGGTGCATTAAAATGACTGACGTTGAGTCCACGACCCACGCGTGTCACTTTTGTATTTTTCAACAAAAAAAAATGGACATCTAGAATATTAAATCAGTGCTCCCACAGCACAAGCCTGAGAAACCTGGAGATATTATTCAGACAGTTGGGCAATTGTTTACGTTACATTGCCACTTCTAAAAAATATCTCTAAAGAACCCAACAACGGCCTCACATCTCTCAAGATTCATTAACGACAAGGAATTTCCGAGATGAATAACAGCGCCAAGAAGTGTTTCGCTTGCCTGCCTGAGGCTTCCGTCAAAATGGAAATCAATTTATAACCTTTGGCCGTGAGTATCACAAGTGCCAGGATGAAAAGCTACCTTTCATCAGGATTAATGACCATTCCAACATCTCGTCACATTCCCTTCCGGAGTGCTGCATCAATACCCTTCTACACATTGCTAAATCACCACCAGTCCTTTTCATTTTGTTTTTTTTTTTATTTCTGCTAGTTGGATTATTCTCGAGAGGCTCCGAATCAAATTGAATCGATTGGAACATCACTGGAAATAAACGGAAGCCCCTGGCTCGGCCTCGATGCTATTTTCAAATTCGACAGTCTTATGCTGCTTTCCTCCTTTCCTGCTTTCAAACACACAACACTCAGTCAATCGTCAATAAAACGATAAAGCCGAGTTTTGCTCAGTTGAACATTTCATCCTGAGAGCTCAAACGACGGAATCACATAGTGTGGTCGTCGGTAAAAAAAAAGTTTATCCCTGTGGAGGTTTAAATTTTGAGTAGGTAAATGTCTGAAATAATCCATTCGACATTGAACTGCTCTCTGGTTATCTTGGAGGAACAAAAGGGAGTAATGAAAATAGCTAAATGGATAGGGGACTAGATTCTATGATGATGAAGCACTTCCATAGCTGTCGGTATCACCTGCCGAACGTGCAGTAACACATTTTGCAGAAGCATCGAAGAAGCGACGATGAGGGTATCGTGCACCTCTGCCAGATTCTAAAACCGTTTCTGACATTGACGCAGAATCACACCGACATATCGTCGAATATTTCTCAGGAATAGTGCCGGCTCGTTGGAAAAACAGAAGGAATAATTAATATTCCAGTCCATAGCCATTCAAATATCCAATTCCCCTCCCACATCGAACATATTATAAGTAACATCGGTGATTAACCTTTCATTAATACCCACGTCATCTCTCATTGTCAATGGAAGCCATAAATCCCAGCTTAAATACGTTTCAAATCCCACGATCGAATAAAAAAAATAATGAAAACCATAACCAACAAAAGGAAGTCATCGAAATAACTCATCAGAAAGACGTGCATCTGCTGACAGTTATACGCTCCATACCCTCGGAATTACTAGCCCATTAATTTCTCCTTAATTGCGCTTTAAACCCTGCCAACTCATCCCATCGAAAAACAAAGTTCAATTGATTCATAACATATAAATCTGGTGTAAGTAATCGGCCCTCCCACCATTACTTTGAGCTATTCGAACCTTCCTACAACCAGTCTTTAATCCAGTTCTCTTTTAAAGAAAAAATTCTAAGATGATGATGTTGACTTACTTCTTGAATCTTGTACCTCGTAGTGGTCGTTTTACGCCTTGTAGTGGTAATCTCGTAAGTCTCCTCAACGGTCGCCCCATTCTCATCCAAAACCATGTCCTTAGGTTCCACTTTAACATCCACCTCCTCCTTAACATCCTGCTCCTCATCATACTTGGGTTCATCATCATCATCATTCTCCCCATCCTCTAAAACCTCCTCTTTCACCTCATTATCTTGAAGGTTGACGTCATTATCTCCATGCGTCTCCATCACTTCCATGTCTCTTCCGATATTTCACAAAGAGTTATCACACCCTCAACAAACTGTCTTCAAAACTAATCACAAAACAATACTGCTGTCTTCAGAAGATTGACATCGATATAAACCGAACGTTATCCCGTGATCTCGTCGACGCGGTGATGCCTGGTGTACTGAAGAGTCAGGGCGTCAAGGCGTCAAGGCAAACCGAGGAACACCAGTAGCCAAAAAGCACCGCCACGCCACCACCAGAGTATGTCCCTCAGAGGCGGACGCGGTTCACGGCGAAAATAGAATTGGATTGGACTTTTCCATGAGAATCACAATACACCCCCCACCAAATCCTTATTATCCACTATGTACCTATCCTTTGTAACCTTTGTCTCCTTGTGCTTCTGATTTCTCCGTCAGTCATTCGACAGCCCTTGGGCTCACACGTTTTTTTTTTCTTCTCGTTTTTCTCTCTCGTTCGCTCGTTATTTGAGAGGGGACTCAAGCACATGTGGCTTGGCCTATCCCGAGGGGATGGCACCACTTCATGGACACCTGTTGTCACAATGTCCGGAGGAAGAGAGAATTATTGATGATCTGGCTATTGGAAGTTTATGGCTTTTTACGAGTCTTTGGATGTCGAGTTTGTCGGTTAGGATAATTCTATCGCCAATCTAATTTAGGCGACCGCGACCTATTAAAAATGACCTAGGAAATTTACTAAAAATATCGTACAAATTATGCTCTTATTCTTTGTAAATTTTATATGTGTCCCTTTTTCTTGAGTGTAATGGGGTTACGCGGAGGAACTAGTAAATTTAGTATAATCTAATATATGAAGTTATTGACAGATGAATATCGGGAGGTTGTCGAGAAGACTGAGAAGAGTCAATTACCCGTACCCCGGTGACTCTGGCCTCGTCAACGAATGTCCAATCCAAAATGGATATCTCAAACCAGAAAGGGAAATCGAGACGGTCACTTCTGACATTACGAGAGGCCAGACCAGAATTAATTAATAGCGCGAGGGAGAGTAGTTCTTCCATAAGCTGCATTTTTCCGTGCTACAGGTATGGAGCAACACTTTCTCAAAATTCTTTCCGCTTTTGGTTGATTACAAATATTGAAAAAATTCTGGAAATTATTAATGCAACTGGTTTTCTTCAGAACAGGCCATCAGCCTGAAGACGCAGTTCTCGTAAAAGATATCGGAATATCCTGTGAAATTTTGAAAGGTAAACCACCGGGGCTCAATGAAAAATCCTCCATTGAGTACATTTTCACTCGAAGGATAAAGGCAGAATACAACGAGCTATCAGTCGTCACCTCGAAGCTCACCTCTTACACAAAGAACATGATAAAAAATATTCACAGCAAGAAGAATATGAAATTCAAGCCATCCGAGAGTCATGTCAAGAGAGGAGAAGCACCATTGGCAGAGGAATACTTGGATGAAAACGGCAGGGCATGCCTCAAGCTGAGATTGCAGAGTCCGCTGAATAAATGACAAGTTACCAAGAAATTATTCACAGTCACATATCAAAGGAGTGTAAAAATAAAACCACGTCAAAGACAAAGCTTTCAACTTAAATCCTCTGTGACAAAAGATCGATAGAGTGAGACAGTGTGAAAATTTGAATAAAAAATGAAGGAGTCATCGGCATCTGTATTCTTTGGACTTGACCAACCCGACATGGCAAACACAACGGCGCCTCCTCCGTCATGGGATCGATCATCGACTGTCATTTGGCTGGCAAGCCAAATCCTCGTCCTCGTGCCGGTACCCAAAACAAGTCAAAATATCTAAAAATTATTCGTCATGGAATAAAAATATTAGTTGATCAATAACCATTCCCAGTATTCGTATTTTTATTTTCAAATATTGCGGAGGTTTCATCACTTCAGATTGGAATTCGTCGGCTGATTCCAATTTTTTAAGGTTATCCCCAGTGTTTGTTATCAAGATTTTCTTTATTTGCCATTTTTGGGATTTTGAAGGGAAAAATGTGGCAGGAAATCCACGTGGAAAAGGAAATTTTCATGGTGTCAAGTGAGTTGATGGACGACAAGTGGAAAATACTGTTGACGAATTTAGTTGAACTTTGGTTTGAAGATATTTCGCGGGAGGAGATTGTTGACAAGTGTCAGGTGCGGCTTCTACTCTATTCCATTATTCCTCATTGATTAATGAGTTTTTATCGATTTAGTAAGTGGCAATTTTACTTTTGACAGAGATTAAATCCGTTATTGAGCATAGAAGACGTGAATATAGACGAAATAATGGCTGGAGTACTGAGTAACATTGTTAAGCTTGCAGTCCAAGTGACCAAATGGAAAATAAAATTAGAGACAACAGTAGAGGGTGGAGTATTTAAATTTGAAATTAATCTCGTGAAGAGTAGTCCCCAGCAATTGTGGCAAGAGATAACGATGCCCCTTTGTCTCTCAGTCGGAGAGCTTAAGCGGCAAAAGGAGATGCTGATCAAGGAATTAAAAAGAAAAGACGAGGAGATAATGGAGTACAAAGCTAATGGAGCTGAATTGATCAGAAGTGTGTATCAATATAGAAAATTAATTATTCAGTAGTCTAAGCCTCTTTAATTCTTTTTAGAACACATTCAAACATTACCTTTCAATGAACACGCACTCGAAGGAGATCTTTCCGGAGACAGTCCCCAACGCTGTCTCGACATTTTCAAAGAAGCTGTGACCTCAAGACCACAGCGACCTGCAGCAAGTGCCCCTCATTCGTCTGTTCCAATCATAAGCAAGTCTTTTGTATAAAATGTGTATTAGTCCCCTCGAGTAGATAATAAATCTCTGTGAACATAGTTGAAGGTGTCTTTGACGTCGATTATACTGATTCAGGAACGCACACGGTGAGTACAGACATATTTTTATCATTTTTCCTTCTGAATGAAAGGAAAATAATAATAATGATTGAAAAAAAATATGGTTACTAACCATGGGATATTAATGACAACGTAGATAAAAAGTGTGCATGTCTTTATTAATGACTCAAAACATCAAGTTATACAATTTCTCCTACAGCCTTATTGACTATTTAATACTAGAAAAGTTAATATGAAATATTTCGATCGTCACCTTCAACTAATCAAATTGGAAAAAGCCACAAATAGGATTTGCCAATGACTGTTTTTAATTTCCATTAATTCAGAATCAGGGAAATGATAAAAGTAGAAATAAATAGTCCCCTCTCTCCCGAATTAATTTGGTCTTGATTATTGATTTGGTCTTCCAATATCACTTCCATCATTTCCCATTTTTCACCAATTTGTACATTTACAATTGCAATTGCACTACTATACATACAATTTCATCACCCAATGGATTCTCCAGCTAATACTCGCAAAATATGCGTAGTACAGTTGATGGAGGGGCATTCATGATTTTTCCAATTCAGAGGCCAGCTCTAAATTGAAGAATGCTACTCAGAAGGTAGACAAGACGAACCCGCGCCTCTCATGTCCTATATCTCAAAACCGTGGGGAGATAGGCATAACTTCATAAAGCTTCTTTCATAATTCATTAGATTCTCGTCGTTGAGACGTTGGCTGATGACCAAAACAGACCACATGACTAAAACTATCTGAATTCTTCAATTATAAACGTATAAAAAGCAATTCCAGTGTCGCATTGCCCGGTCTGTTATCCCGGAAATTCGACCAGTGCTTTTGAAAGGAGGAAAATTATAAGTTGTACAAAACGGTAATAAACGGTGGTGGCCGTTTATTTTTTCCTTCAATTTATTTCTTAAAATCTTCACATTCTTTCATAGGCACAATAAAGGCTTTATTTTCCGCCAGCATAAATGAGAGAGACGAATAGCGACAGTTTAAGTCTGTTCTGCTTCGAATTGCGGGACATATTATCCTTAAATTTTATAATTCACAGATGATTAAATCATTAAATAAATTTTGTTCCAATGGAATGTTAAAAATCGCCACACCTTCACCGCACAAAATGATTGCATCGCACATAATAAAGCATCAGTCATGCGTTAATTGACTCCGCTTTAAACCGATCATTCCGTAAACCTATTTTACCACTTAGTGTACACCATAATACGTAGCGTCCAGCAATAGGAGCAGGCAGTCTATGCTTTGAATTATCATTAAGTCCCTTCCACCGATCTGTTCCAATGAAACAGAAATCTAAACTCGTGGTCCTCTATTTAATTTTACCTCCTCCCATCTCTCAAAAGACGTCGATCACAATGCGCTTGATGAAGTCTTTGGTTTAATTTGTTACTCCTTATCATCTTCAAATATAATATATCGCGAGTATCGATTGTGCTGATCATAATTGCGTAATTAGGCCCTCCTTAATACATAACTCAGAATACTCCAGAAGCGAAGTCACATTGAAAGTAAGAAAAAATACTAATTTCAATCGTAAATTGATGATTTTCATGATCAATGTTACCTTAACACTTCGCTAGTGAGTTGAGCAGCAAAAAGGTGAATTATTCCAACTATTGCACCATACCTCCATTTTTTCACTTCTTCGCTGCTCAAGTTATAAATCAATAATTCGGCGAGTGATTGAGATGCACCTGTGCTGCAGTTCTACACATTAATTGCCAACAATTTGTGATAAATGATTATTACAAACGATCATTTCAACTAGTAAATGATAAAAAAAATTTCAGCGTTTGTTTTGCTGGAGGTTCCTCGACCTCGTATATCGAATTTTTTTTTTTTTCAATTTCACCAGCTGTAGCTGGCTAACAGGAGCACCTCCAAGCATCCCCTTGTTGTGAAGGCGATTGCGCTTTTATGATGCTGTCTGCGCCTTCTCTCTCTGATGCCTCAAACAAACTCGCCTACAATGGAAAATTCATTATTATTACTATTTATGGTTAAAGAAATAATTGCTGATGTAAAGATAGATTTTACCCTTCGACCTCTCTGCTCCCGTATCCTTCTGGCGAGTGTGAGAAAAGCCTCCTCTATGTTGATGTTCTCCTTGCAAGAAACTTCAAAAAAGGGCATGTCGAAATCGCTGGCAATTTTTTGCCCTCGGTCGATGTCTACGGCTCTGTGATTTGTCGCGTCGCATTTGTTAGCTGCCAGAACTTTCACCACGTCGGGTGATGCATTCTAAAAGATATAATTTCATACAAATGCATCGGTGTGAAACCAGTGACGAGTAAGACGAGTAGAAATTACTTCTTGAATGTTCCGCAGCCAGTAGGACAAATGATTGAAACTCTCGAGACTGGTGACATCGTACATGAGGAGGATTCCCATGGCTCCTCGGTAGTAGGCGGTGGTTAGGGTTCTGAAACGCTCCTGACCGGCAGTATCCCTAAAATTCAATGTTTAAAAATACTTTTCCTTAGCATCTTCCAACACCAAATATTTTCCAATCACTCATACGTGCATTTCACTCACCAAATTTGCAATTTGATCGGTGTGCCATCTAAATTGATGATCTTCTGCTTGAAGTCAATGCCTGGAGACAACGAAACATGACGAAAAAAAAAAAAAAAATCAGGAAAAAAAATCCGACAATTAAGAGCGAAATGAATGATAAATTGAAAAGTGAACGATTGATTTATGGAGAAATAGGGTGACTCACCAATAGTCGATATATAAGTGTCATAGTAACGCTCATCGCAATATCTATGGACAATGCACGTCTTGCCCACGTTAGAATCACCAAGCACAAGTACTTTATAAGTAGCAGCAAAATCGAGCGCCATGTTGCTAAGCTGTGTGGTGATTTTGAACTGTTGTTGGGCCGCCTCCGGTAGTCCGGCCTCGGTGTCGACGTCCGGGGTTCGTACGCTCAGGGCATTTGCCAAATGCATTTACCAGCATCAAATGCTGGAGGGGGATGAAGGATCGATTTCGAGCTTGCGCTCTATCTCCACTTCACCTCGACTTCTCTACCTTTATCCTACATCTCTCTACTCCCTCCCCCGACCACTTCACCACGACTTCAAATACATATCGATTTTAATGATTTTTATAATCAAATTTTCTCCTGTTTCTATCTCATCATTAATTTTCACAAATTTCCCAATAAATAAAACTCCAACTCGGTTTTTTGATTCTTTGGTTGTTTATTTCCGTTGATACCTTCAATTTTATTAATTGACATTTACTTAGCCCTTAAACTCACAATCCAAAGCGTATACACTCGTTAATTAGTAAAGCAATCAGAATAATCCATCGATCACTCCTACAATCATTGGTTTTAAAAGAGAACGCGCCACTTGATAGGAAATATTTTGTATAAAACAGTCCCTGTATAAAAATTAATGTCTGGGATTCATAACTTATAGTTACAATAAATTAAATGAGTTTTCAACGATACAAATCCTTTTTTAACACATTCAGGCACTTTGAAAATCTAGAGCAACAATTCTCCCAAATGACTAGATGATTCCTCTACACGACTACGCTTTCTCTATTGTCACTCAAAACTCTTCTACATGCCGTCTCATCGAGATCTATCACACTATGCCACTTCCTATTCTACCCATTACATCATTAATTAAGCCGTTTTCTACATTGGAACATATAAATTTATAGGTTTTTGGTTAACAATGGTTTAAATACAGTCAACTTTTAAAATATGATTAAATATCGAATTACAGTCTTTTTGTAATGTGTCCATAATTATTTGAAAATACTTTTGATCTTTAAAAAACCTACGTCATTTTTCATGAGCTGAAAAAAAAATATATAATTAAAATTACCCAAGTTTCGAGAAAACAAATTAGAATTTATGAAACTTAATACAGTCTCATTACGAAGCCGATGAATTGAATTAAAGTATATTTTTTAAAAACGTAACACGGATAACTAATCGTAACACAGTCAAATATAAAGGAGATTAATTCGTGAAAACACGTCTAAAAATACGATTCTATACGGGAGTCTTGGGATTCAATTGTCTTCAATAGGAAAATAATTTATCCGCCCAACAAGACGGTTTGTTGAAGAAATTGATAAGAACACTTTGATTAGTTTGCCTGGATCAAAGCATGGCACACAGCCCGAGACCCAGAAGGATCAGGCCAATCATACAGGTCAATTCACGTTTGATTTTGCGAATTTTTAAGCCAGCACCTGGAAGCAACTCATCATCGTGCCACCGTAGGGAGAACAGAGGCATCACAACATGAAGTACATCCGGAATCATGAATCCTAGGTCTCGAATTACCTGAAATACACCCACATGACTTTAAATAGCTCTATAATTGTGTTGAGACCACGATCTACCTGATGAGCATAGCCCTCGCCCCTCAAAACGTTAGTAACGAACTGATCCCAACTGCCTGCAAAAATATGGACAAGTCCAATTCCACTGATCACGAGAGCTTTCTTCGCTGTAACTGGACTCTTGCTATCAGCGAGGATCACCACCAATACCGTCGATACCAATTCAGTAATGGAGAAGAACATCTGGTGATACCACTGGGAGTAGAAATCATCATTCCAATAGTTGATGTAGACCCACCAGGAGTAGTAGTGGGAGAATATGGCACTAATGAAGAGTATCAGCATTCCCAATCTAAGACGACGTTGGAATGCTAGCCAGGCTAGGTACTTTGCTGTCTCATAAAATGCCACAACTCCGATCACTATTGTCGCCCATATCTTCAAGGTATTGGGGGTAGCATTGAAGTACATGTGTTTGTACGAGGCCACTCCTGACTCGTACGAACCTATTATCAACATCGTTTTTTTTTATTCGATAAGTGAATTTTTTAATCTCTTTGCTTTTCAGTTGTCTCACCCTTAAAGACAGTGTCCCAACACGAGCAGGAGCAGTACTGTTTGTCCACATCCCTCGAGTACTCTCTCCAGAAATAATAAAGGAATAAAATATGGAGAGGAGGTACCACCAGAGGTGCCAGTACCCCTACGAATTTCGGCCCACAGTTTGATATGTTCGAGAGGACGATACGTCTCAGTATTCGATGCACCATGTCGGCTTAAATAATCCTTATCCATTTATTAACATTTCCCACTTATTAACTTTCTAAACTACATTTTTATGAGCTCTCAATTCTACCCCATAATTATTCAAACATTGTTCACCCAATTTCGATAGCTAATCCCTTGGACTCCGCTCAATTGAACTCTTGTAAAATTCACAATCATATAAGAATAATTAAGAAAATGGAAGACCCTGGCATCCCTGAGCCCTTTTAAGAAAAGTATCAACACTTTTTGGCAATTCGTTAGTTTAATTCAATTCAGAAAACTGGCGAGAACCGGGGAATAAGGAAATTTCAATAGCCCATCGGGTTTCGATTTTCGCACTCTAGAGTCTATAGAAACGAATTCCAATGAGTACGAGTCCGGCACTGTAGCTGTACCCAAAGAGGATTGACTAAAGTAGAGGCTCAGTTCTGGGGGTTTGAGTGACCCCAGCGGCATCGTAGTACTGCACCCCAAGAGAGGGAGGGCGCCACACGCAATGCTTTTGAATGCTTTTTTTTTTATTTGTTTAACTGAAATTTAGCCGACTGTAGAACGTGCGGAAGGGGGAAACCACATCTTGTGGAATTTCAATGGAAAAAATTATTCAATCTATTGAATATATACCAGTAATGAATTTTTGAATTTAAATGAGCGCGTTGTCCTAGCGGTAACGTCCTCGACTGGCACGCCGGCGGCCCGGGTTCAATCCCGGCATCATTCATTTTTTTTTTTATTAAATAATTCCTATTTTTTGTTTTGGTAAATGGCTAATTAATGGAAATATCGTTTAAAAACTAAATATTTGAAAATCAAGACGATATCCAGTAAAATTGAAAAATTAACAATTTTTTAAAACGATACTTTTGCAATATATATACTCCTAATGAAATTTTATTATTGTAAAAATGCGTTATCCTAGCGGTAACGTGCT